CCTGCCTGTTCCAGGCCTGTTTGAAGTCCAGAGGCTGCTGCGGTCCTCTGGATGGACAGCATTGATAAGCAACTCTCTCCCCAGCCCAGTTAATAATTCAGGAGAGGGTGCCTGCAGCCAACTCATCATTCCAGCCCTGCTGCCACCCCAACCGCCAAGCTGGTGGACAGGAAAGAAAAAATCACCGCACCAGCTTGAAAAATGGTCCTCACTTCAAGTGCTTCCTGGGTCCCCCGTGCTGCCATGGAAGAGAGCCAGGCTGAGATGTACCTGCTGGGTGCACAGCTAGGGGAGGATAGAGAGGCCCTGGGGCTCGCAGGCATCCACACTGAGCAAATTGTTTAACCTTTGTTTTGGGGCAGTGGGCTGTAGACACTGGAGACCCCAGAGGTCTCTTCCTCTGATGCAGCTATTGATCCTTCATTCATGTGATCACTCATTTATTCATTTGGGACTGCAGGAGGGGTACTCTCGTGGCAAGATGGCTGGTGAGAATACCCTTCCTGCAGTCCAGGAAATAAAAACTACATTGTCTCAGTACTAATTTTTCCTTGTGGCACTGAGCATCTATTTCCAACATGCTCACTCATTCATTCATTTGGGAATCACTGATGCTGCTGGTATAGAAGTGGGCATCCAGGAAACAGAGAAGGGTGGGGGTTGGCACCACCCCTTAGGGAGGTGGACACATATACCATCGTGTACCAGGTGGTGAAAGCCACCACACTTGACCTGAGATAAGAAACAGATAACTGGGGGCTCTGGATCTGGGTGTGGCCTATTGCCTGGGTGTGGCCTATTGCCTGGGTGTGCTGGGGGCCTGAAGTGCCCAAAGCAGAGAGGGAGGGTAGAGACGATAATGGCTAAGATCATGGACTCTGGGGCCAGGTTGCCTGGGTTCAAATCTCAGCCCTGTCACTCACTTACACAGAGTTGGCCTCTCTGTGCCTCAGTTTCTCTGTATGTAAAACAGGGTTAATAATGGGAGAGTGATACAAATCACCCTCATATATGGTTAAACAAAAAGCCAGGGTCAGGCATGGTGGCTCATACCTGTAATCTCAACAATTTGAGAGGCCAAGGCAGGAAGATTGCTGGAAGCCAGAGGTTTCAGACTAGCCTGGGCAACATAGGGAAACAAAAATAAATGATATACAAAATTAGGTATGGAGGCATGCACCTGCAGTCCTAGCTACTTGGGGAGGCTAAGGTGGGAGGATTGCCTGAGCCCAGGAGTTTGAGGTTGCAGTGAGCTGTGATCGCACCACTGCACTCCAGCCCGGGTGACAGAGCAAGACCCTGTCTCAAAAAAAAAAAAAAAAGAAAAGAAAAAAGAAAAACAAAGAAGCAAAAAACACCAAAACTCTAACAAATACGAAGTGTAGGCGAGTAACATCACAGCCAACTTCAGAAAGTGATTCGGCAGTTTCCAATGAAGTCAAACATACTGCGCCATCCCACTCCTAGGTATTTATCCAAATGAAACGAAGAATTTATGTTCTCACAAAAACCCATTCATGAATGTTCATCAGCTCCGCAAACTGGAAACAACCCAAACGCCTTCCAACTGGAGAACTGATACACTATGGAACTCCACACAGCCGTGCACATCAACAATAGGCGTGAGTCGCAGGCGTATTATGTATGCTAAGTGAAAAAAGCCAGGCTCATACAGCTCCATCCACACTGGATGAATCCATGCATATGACATTCTGAGTCAGAACACTTGTCCGTGGTTGCAGAGATGAGAGGAAGGATTATTCCGAGGAGCATGAGGGAATTTATGGGGAGTGATGGAACTGTTTGATATTCTGATTGTGGTGGGGGATACGTAACTGTATGTGTGCATGTGTCAAAAATTATAGAAGTAGGCTGGGTGCAGTGGTCCACACCTATAATCCCAGCACTTTGGGAGGCTGAGGCAGGCAGATCACCTGAGGTCAAGAGTTCAAGACCAGCCTGGTCAACATGGTGAGACCCTCCCGTCTCTACTAAAAATAGAAAAATAAACTGGGAGTGATGGTGGGTGCCTTTATTCTAGCTACTCGAGGGGCTGAGACAGGAGTATTGCTTGGACCCGGGAGGCAGAGATCACTTTGTTGCAGTCAGCTGAGATCACACCACTTCACTCCAGCCTGGGCAAGAGAGCAAGACTCTAGTCTCAGAAAAAAAAAAAATCACAGAACTGAACACTGAAGAGGGTGAATCTTACTGTGTGTAAATTGTGCCAGGCAGAGTAAACAGCACATGCAAAGCGCACAGAGGTTTGAAATCAGGTTTGAGATGGTGCATGGGAGCAAGTGGCAGGAAGCGAGGCAGGGAAAACTTACTTGGGTACATTTGTGTTGGGCCTTGAATTCCGTGTCAATGCTGCTTTGGATTGTGGGAAAATGTTGAGAGTTTTTAAGCAATTGAGGAATATAAATGGATATTTGCTTCAGAGAGACGATTCTGTTCTATGTTTAGAAGCAGAAGCCAGGCCGGGCGCAGTGGCTCACGCTCGTAAACCCAGCACTTTAGGAGGCCAAGGTGGGTGGATCGCCTGAGGTTAGGAATTTGACACCAGCCTGGGCAACATGATGAAACCCCGTCTCTACTAATAATATAAAAATTAACTGAGTGTGGTGGCGGGCACCTGTAATCCCAGCTACTTGGGAGGATGAGGCAGGAGAATCATTTGAATCTGGGAGGAAGAGGTTGCAGTGAGCCTAGATCACACCACTGCACTCCAGCCTGGGCAACAGAGTGAGACTTTGTCCCCCCGCAAAAAAGCAAAAGCTGTTGGGCATATGGGCCTGACCCTGCCTTTAGAAATGTTTCTATTTGTGTTATAATATTTTTGGAGGAGTCTGAATTTGTGGCCAGTGTTTTAGAACCAGGAGATTTTACTCAGAATTCTGGATTCTTGGCCTCTCTAGACAAGGCACGGGCTTCCCAGTTTGCCCCCTCCACTCCCTCCCTCAGATTCTATTCCATTCCTGCAGTGGTGTCGGTTTTGACCCCCAGGATTGAAAGTGGATTCTAGGAGGAAGAGATCAAGGTCAGTGGCATCTCTCAGTCCGGGTCTGAACACTTTCATCACCCGGGAAATTTGATTAAAGACTGATGCACAGGCTGAGTTGCTGGAGGAGGCTGTGCACGCGTACTTTGTAAATGCTCTGCTTCACCCCCGGTGACTCTGATGTACAGCCAGGGTTAAGAACCACTGTTCCAGGGGGAGGCAAGGGTGGGCTAGGGGTCAGCAGTGGAGGTGGAGAGGTGTTTAGGGACTGAGGGGACATCAGGCTGAGGCAGGGGGAGGAGGACTCAAGCGTGACGTCCCAGCTTGGACAAATGCAGCATGATGGTGCCATCTGCTGAGAAGGGACATGAAAGAGGCAGTCAGGGGGAGGCGCTCATCTTGGTTTTGGCTGTGCTGTGTCTGAAGGGCCTGTGGCCTCCAGGCTGAGGGGTCGGATGTGCAGGTGGCTAACACCGCTGTGCCCATAACCTCTGTGTGTTCTACTTTGTCCTCAGATGAGGAAGCTAGGGAAGGTTCTTAGGGGAGGGGAGGGCTATGTTGGGGGGAAATAAGGTGGCCAAGCTTCTCCCAGAGCTGTCTGCAGAACACAGGGGCTCCCTTGGTATTATGAACTAAACTTTTGTGTCCTCATGAAATTCCTGTGTTGAAATCTATTCCCTCAAGGTGATGGTATGAACAGGTGGAGACTTTGGGAGGTGATCAGGTCGAGGGGGTAGAGCCCCTGTGAATGAGATTAGTGCCCTCACAAAAGAGACCCCAGAGAGCTCCCTCACCCCATCCACCATGTGAGGTCACAGTGCAAAGATGGCTGTCTAGGAGCACAGCTGGGCCCTCAGCAGACACTGAATCCGCTGGCACCTTGATCATGGACTTCCCAGCCTCCAGAACTGTGAATGATGAATTTCTATTTATAAGCCATCTAGTGTATAGGATTTTGTTATAGCCACTCCACATGACTAAGGCTCTTTGGGTGGAGGTGGGAAGCCCTTCTCGTCTGCCCTGGGTCATGGGTGCTCAGGCCTTGCTGAGTGACTTTGTCTGGAGAAAAGTGGGGGAGAAGGTTCTCAAAAGGGGTGCTTATACTTGAGAAGAAGAGACATATAGTTCCCTCACACCCAGAACCAGTAACTCCTTCCTGAAACCAAGACCCTCTGCCAAAACATCTCACCTCCCAGCAGATGCAGTGGCTCTTTTCTCTTTGTTTTGGTCAAAAACCTTTCCTGTATATTAGGAGTGACTAGCCTTTCTGTGCTTGTGAGTGAAGCAAGACAGAAACCATTGTGCCCATTTTACCTATAAGAAAAATGATATACCATGGAGTACATGCAGCCATAAAAAAGAACGAGGTCATACCCTTTGCAGGGGCATGGATGGAGCTGGAGGCCATTATCCTTAGCCGGCTAAGGCAGGAGCAGAAAACCGAGTACTGCATGTTCTCACTTAGATGGGGGAGCTGAATGATGAGAACACATGGACACATAGAGGGGAACAACACACACTGGGACCTTTCAGTGTGGAGGGTGGGAGGGGGGAGGGGATCAGGAAGAATAACGAATGGATACTAAAGTGAATGCCTGCGTTATGGAGTAATCTGTATAACAACCCCCGACACACGTTTACCCATGTAACAAACCTGCACATCCTGCGCATGTGTCCCTGAACTTGAAAGTTAAAAAACAAAAAGAAAAAAGAAAAAGGAAAGAAATACATGACTTTAGTACCTGTCCCTTGCTGGGTACTTCATACACATTTTCATGGAATCCACATAATCATCCTGTGTATGAAATAGGGGTTATGTCCCCATTTTCCAGATGAGGAAACCGAGGCTCTGAAAGTTTAAGTATTTTGCCCAGATGGCCAGCTCAGCAGTGGCAGAGTTGGTAGCCACGCCCAACTCTCTCCATGGTTCTTTAGTGTGCCTGTGGCCCACCCCTCCTGTGACCTCGGCCGGGAACGCACACACAGACCTACACACGTATGACCTCTCCAGACGCCTTTTATTGTCTTTGTTGCCCCCTCAGCTTTCCTTCTGGTACCCAGTGGACATCTTCATGGTGGCCTCTGGCCTCTTTTCCTTTGTGGACACACTCACTTCAATGTCTGTGAGGTCAGCCCGGGGAGGGGATTTAGTGTCCCCAGTAAGAGAGGGGCAGAGACTTTGGCCTTCCCATCCACTGAGACGCTGCTCACAGAAGGCTTCAGAGCTTCCCTGTGGCAGCTGTTCTTGGCTGGGTTGGGCTCTGTCAACATGAAGTGCTTGTCATGACATTGTCCTGCGATCACAGTCACTGTCTCAGCTATCTGAACATAGGATGGCTCCTGGCCTCCTTTCTTGACATGAATGAGGTATCAGGAAGCCCTTGCTCCTGGGAAGATTCTGGGCTGAAGCTGCCCAGAGTTGGTGCTCAAAAAAAAGACTGGTGATCTTCAGGGATGGAGCTCCCTTTACACCAACCCTCTAATGTTCCCACTACACCTGCTCCTCGTGGGCTGGTGGCATCCCTGGCCATTCCTGATGGCCCTTCCCTGGTAACAGTCACTTGGGCTGTGCTTCCAGGGGAAGCTGAGAGTCGTGAAGGTGCTCCCTGAGTACCATGGCTGTCTCCCTAGTGCTTCTGCCGGCAGTGGCCATGGTGGACAGCGTGTGCTGCAGAGATCGGCCAGGACCGAGTTTCCCTTAGATGTGGCTCCCAAGCATGGCGCTCATGGCGGATGGTTCTTATATGGACAGTCCCAACCACAGCTGAAGCTTGTTTCTTCTGAGCTCGTCGTGCTTGGTGTTGGTTGTAGATGGTGTTCATCATTTAGGATGGTTTCATCACGGAAGGTTCTAACTTGTGACAGTTCTTAATATCATCAGTGTTTGCCATTGAGAACAGCTGTCGTCACCAATGAGTTTTGGTACAGGGGGTCCCACCAGGATGCTGCTGACTACAGATGGTTTTGCCATTGATGGATCTTGTTGTAGATGGCTCGTCACTGAGGTTCACAGTCTTGGTATCTTGATACTACAGCTCTTCTATCAAGAGTGGTTCTCAGTATAGGCAGTCTCCTCACTGACTGCATTCCCAGGATAGACAGGGGTCAGCATAGATCCTTCCTGTTACATGTGGCCTGCCTGCTGACGCTTGTTGCTACAGATGGGACTGCCCATCGATGGTCCACACAGTCAGTGTGCGCTTTTGAAAAGACCTTTCCTCCTTGTTTTGGGAATAACCACTTTGGGTGCAGTCTGGGTTCTCCAGGCCATGTGCTGCTTTCCGAGAGGCCCTGGCTGCTGGAGAAGATGCTCACTGTGGCACGCACGCCTGGGCAGGCTGTTCACCCTTGGTGACTTGCTCACTGCTTTTCATGTTGCTGCTTGTCTTGTCCTCCTGCACACTGGTGTGGCTGCTCTGCCCGTTTTGGGCACTGCCCTCCAGCCCGACGCTCTGACGGCTGCTGGCCTTGGTGGAGGGCAGGCTGGCCGTGGAAGTCAGCAGCCCGCTGCTCACCTGGTAGGTGAGGGCACTGCTGCCCAAGCTGATGAAGCTGGTGCTGGACAGGCTGGCCTCCCTCTTGCCCTCCAGTCTGCTTGGTGCTGTGGGTGGGGCCAGTCAGCCGGCTCTTTAGACAGCTGAGAGAGTCTGTGGAGCCCAGCTGGCCTATTTGGGTGCTGGGTGTGGGGGTGTTGAGCCTTCTTTTCAATTGCACCCTCCGGTGGCTGCCCACTAAGCTGATGTCACTGCCTTCCTTGTCCCCTGCATACCCGCTGCTCAGGCTGCCATTGCTGCAGTCCTCTGGCCGGGGGTGCTGCACGCTGGACACATGCCTCTCTCTGCTCTGGGTGATGCTGAGATTGCTGCCGGACACTGTCCTCGGCTCCTGAGCTGCTCCTGCACTGCGTGGCCACGCGGGGGGCCGGGGCGCTAAGCTGGGTGACTGTAGGCTTGGCTCTCCTTCCTGGGCATTCTGGACAGAGGATTCCCCTTTTTCTCCCTCAAGGAAAATGGGGGGCAGCTGAAGTGGTTTATCCAGGGGGAGGGGACCTGGGAGGCCTCTGAATGTTTATTGTGGCCTGTCTGGGGAGAGGTGACTCTGTATATAAGGCTGCCCTTTGAAAACTCTGTGTTCTGATTGGCTGGTTCTGTTCCCATGGTGATGGGGCTTGTGAGGTGAGGTGGGGGTGGGAGGGAGAACAATGCTGTCCTGTCACCAGTGACATCAGTGGCCTGGCCTGGAGGGTGGGAGTGGGGTACAAAGGGGCTCATGGCCAGAGGGGATGGGGTGCTTCCTCCCGGAAGCCTTTCTGAGGAGCCTGTGGTCAGACATCAGGTCAGGGGCTTCAGGTGTGTGTCCCAGCTGAGCTCCCTATGAGCCGAGTTTCTTCTCTCCCAAGTCTCTTCCTGCTTGCTGAGTGTGTGTGTTTAAATATTTTTTGTTTGTTTGTTTTTTAGATGAAGTCTTGCTCTGTCACCCAGTCTGGAGTACAGTGGTGTGATTTTTTTTTTTTTTTTTGAGACAGAGTCTTACGCTGTCACCCAGGCTGGAGTGCAGTGGTATGATCTTGGCTCACTGCAACCTCTCTCTGCCTCTCAGGTTCAAGCAATTCTCCTGCCTCAGCCTCCCAAGTAGCTGGGATTACAGGTGCCCACCACCACGTCTGGCTAATTTTTGTATTTTTAGTAGAGATGGCATTTTGCCATGTTTCCCAGGCTGGTCTTGAACTCCTGACCTCGAGCGTTACACCCACCTCAGCCTCCCAAAGTGCTGGGATTACAGGTGTGAGCCACCACACCTGGCCTGTGGAGTGGTTTTGAGAACAGAAGGGAACAAAGCAGTCAGGAGTATAACCTCAATTCCTTGCCAGATCATCAAGGCTCTTCTGGCCTGGTCTGGTTCTCCTGACCTCATCACACGCCCTGCCCTGCCCCTGTCTCACCTTGGATGCCCAACCAGGCTGAGCACTCTCTTACTGCAAAAGGGACTCACAGCATGATGCACTGGACCCCAACACTATGAAACTGGGTTTCTGAAAAAAGGTTTTATTGCAAGTTGACTCAGAAGGAGGCAGGTGTCAGCTCAAATCTCTCTCCCTGTGCTGGCTTTAAGGCAGTAATTTTATTAGAAAAGGTTTAGGGAGTGGATTCTGAGGTTAGTAGGTGATTGGTGCAAGGGGAAGTGAGGGCTGGGAAGACCTGGGGCATGCGCAGTTATCTCTTCCTGCCTCCTCATGGGTCCCATGAGCAAATCTGGGAGGAGTTAGTGTGAAACATGCAGTGGAAATTCAGGCTGTGACATCAGCAAGCTTGTCTTGCACTGACTCCAGTCGGCCATTTTGGTTCCAGCTGATTTCAGCCAGTTTTAAGTGAAAGGAGTTTCAAGTTGTTTCTTTTTTTATTTGCCTTCCTGCAAATTCAAGAATTTCTATTAGTGGTTTCTTTAGCTCTTTGGAGAAACTGTTTTAATATTTCATACTCTTACCTGCTGCAATGGCACATTCTCTGCTCACTGTAACCTCTGCCTCCCAGGTTCAAGCGATTCTTCTGCCTCAGCCTCCTGAATAGCTGGGTTTACAGGCATGTGCCACCATGGCCAGCTAATTTTTGTATTTTTAGTAGAGACGGGGTTTCACCATGTTGGCCAGGCTGATCTTGAACTCCTGACCCCAGGTGATCTGCCCACCTCAGCCTCCTAAAGTACTGGGATTACAGGTGTAACGCACGGCACTCGGCCCCCTCTGTCATGCTTTACTCCATTTCCTGATTGATGTTCCTTGTGACATGAAGGAATTATGTATTGGTTATTTATTACCACTTCCTCAGCCAGAATGTAAACTTAATGAGGGCAGAGATTCTGATTTCTTGTCCTCTGCTCTGCGCTTGAGGTCCAGCACAGTGTCTGACACCTTGTAGATGCTCACTAGATGTGGATTAATGAATAAATGAACCACCCCGGGTGTCCATCACCACCGAGGAAGCTTCCAAAAAACACGTTGGGATTTCCTTTTTTGTTTTCACTTTGCGGCAGTGGAGTCTGGCTATGTTGCCAAGTAACCTCCTTGCCTTGGCCTCCCAAACTGCTGGGATGGCAGGAGTCACTGCATCTGACCGGGATTTTCTAAGACAGTGGTTTTTGCCATTGGCTATTTACTGGGTTCACCTGGGGATGCCTGGGTTCCAACTCCAGACGTTCACAGTTAATTGGTCTAAGGTGAGGCTTTGGCAATGGAATTTTAAAAAGCTCTCCGGGTAATTCCAATGTGCAGTCAGTGTTGAAAATCTTGCTAGCCTTGGACACAGGTGCTTTTTTTGTAGATGATTCCGAGTGCAACCTGATGAAGAAGTTAACTGCAGATGGAAACGCTGGGCAAGCCGCTTATTGGTAGACACAATAGATGTTTCCTGAGTGACGGAACGAATTAATACATTCACTGACCCCTAAAGAGTTCACGGGTGGATTTTTAAAACCTTGAGAAGTCATTGAAATTGTACACAAAATCTGCAATGAGCTAAACATATGCTTTCTTTCCCCTAGGGAGCGAGTCACAGCTTTCATAAAATCCCCAAGGGTATCCATGATCCCCCAAAGACGAAGAAGCGTAAAGATCTGGCATAACTCCTGCCTCGGTGTTTGTGAGATGGATGGTCCTGGTGCTTAGGGTGACCCTAAGAGGTCTGGAGAGGGCTGGCCTGCCGTGTTTGGGGTTCAAGGTGAAAGAAGGAGGGCACTGCTCAGAGAGAGCGCTGCCAAGCCCGTTGATAGGCATCATTACCATCACTGCTAATCCTCCCTGTCATCATTGTCATGAATTCCTTTCCCATTGCCTGGGGCAACTTGGCATCCCTTTGTTGTACACAGCGGCATCTTTTCTGCTCGAAAATTGTGATCCCTTAGGGATGAGTGGGTCGTCATCTTGCCCTCTAACTTCCTATTGTAACTGCCTAACAGGAACAGCGCTGTGGGGGTTCCAAAGACACTCACTGTTCCCTGATTGGGTGTGTTTTCCCAGGTCTTGGGCCTCACTCACCCGACAATGGGGAGAGGGCCCTGGTGGCCCAGTGAGCTTGTTCAAGTAAGTATTAGACCCAGAGAGTTTGGCAGAAAAGAGATTTATTAGGAAGAGAGAGAGAGAGAGAAAGAGAAAGAGAGAGAGAGAGAGAGAGAGAAAGAGAGACAGAGAGAGCGCTCCCATGCTGCCGTGGGAGTGGACCCAGAGATGGAATCCACACATGTAAAGAGAAAGAGAGAGAAGGCTCCCACGCTGCTGTGGGAGGGGATCCCAGAGAGGGATATCCGTATAGGTAAAGGAGCATGGGGAATTTAAGCCCGGAATTACTCCCACCCCATTTAAGTTCTCGTCCAGTGAGAGGAGCTCTTCCAAACTTCCTCTGGAGTGACTGATCTTTGACTCTGTTACTGGATTGGTTGCCTGGCCCACAATTAAAGCCTCTTCCCCCAGAGCTTTTGGGGGGCTTTCTAAGCAAAGGAAACTTACCTGGGCTGTGTACTTTTCCGGCGTCACGGGAAAGTTAGACAAAGAACTCCAGGCTCTGGGATGGGGAGGTAGATGGAGGTATGGCGCTGGGAAGTTCTTGCCTTTGAAACCACGCCCCTTGTGGACTTGCAAAGGGAAATTAACATAGCCCGTCACTGTCCCCAGCTCTATGCTCTCCATGAGGACTGACAAGGAAGAGACAGGCACGGTGGTTTAATGGTGATGTTCAGAGTGAAGGGTGTGGTGGGAGCCAGCTGTTACGGGAAGCAGGGACAAGGCTGGCCCTTTAGGGGGCTGGTAGGGGAGAGGCAGGAGGTTGGACACCAGGCAGGTAGGCTGGGAGTCGGGACTGACTCTGTCCCTGTGCAAAACCAGAACAGGGCAGATGCCCCAGCTGGGATTAATGGTGAGCCTGTCGAAACGCATCTTCCCTCTCCTTGTCTTCCACCCCATCTGCTCCGGGCACATGACATTACCGGCCTGAGGACTGCAGTGGGCATTTGGGCTTGTTCAGGATAAATGGCAGAGGCCACAATAATCAGAGTTCCCTTCCCATCTAGCACATCAAATGCCAGGTCTGTAGCCTGTGGATACAGTGAAGCCTCATAAACAGCCATGGCTCAGCTTTTTTTTTTCAGTTGCATTTTAGGTTTTGGGGTACATGTGCAGAACATGCAAGATAGTTGCATAGGTACACACATGGCAGTGTGTTTTGCTGCCTTCCTCCCCTTCACCCACATTTGGCATTTCTCCCCAGACTATCCCTCCCCAGCTCCCCTCCCCCTGCTGTCCCTCCCCTATTCCTCCCAATAGACCCCAGTGTGTAGTACTCCCTTCCCTGTGTCCATGTGTTCTCATTGTTCATCACCCGCCTATGAGTAAGAACATGCAGTATTTCATTTTCCGTTCTTGTGTCAATTTGCTGAGAATGATGTTCTCCAGATTCATCCATGTCCCTACAAAGGACACGAACGCATCATTTTTGATTGCTGCATAATATTCCATGGTATATATGTGCCACATTTTCCCAGTCCAGTCTATCATCGATGGGCATTTGGGTTGGTTCCAGGTCTTTGCTATTGTAAACAGTGCTGCAATGAACATTCGTGTGCATGTGTCCTTATCGTAGGATGATTTATAGTCCTTTGGATATATACCCAGTAATGGAATTGCTGGGTCAAATGGAATTTCTATTTCTAAGGCCTTGAGGAATTGCCACAGTGTCTTCCACAATGGTTGAACTAATTTACACTCCCACCAACAGTGTAAAAGTGTTCCTATTTCTCCACATCCTCTCCAGCATCTGTTGTCTCCAGATTTTTTAATGATCGCCATTCTAACTGGCGTGAGATGTTATCTCAATGTGGTTTTGGCTCAGCTTCTAATTACCTTTTATGTCTCTGTGGGTTACTCTGGGAGTCTTGGGGAAGGCATTTCGTGGAGCTTCTGTTGTTTGATTCCAGTCTTCTCATACCTGCCTCACCTGTGCAGCCACCTGAGGGCAGTGCTCTTACCTGGCCTCTACCCCAACTGCCCTTGTGCATAAGACCAGAGCTGTTCTACCCAGTCACTGCTTCTGGCATCCTCCAAACACACAGTGCTCAAGGCTCACACAGAGCAGCACCCTTCTGAGCTCAGAGTCCCAAATCCCCAAAAGATCCAGGGAGAAGTAGGTGGAAGATGTTTTCTACACTGGGACCTGGTATCTCATTCTGGGACCATTCTCTGAGCTGCTGTTCCTGTCCCCAGTTCCTTGCGGTTTGCCCCTCAGAAACGCTCCTCTCAGACAAACACACATTTCAGCCTCTGTCTCCAGGTTCCCTTTCTCTCAGGCATGTCAATTTCTTCACCCAGGAGACTGGCATTCACCAGACCAGCAGCTCAGAATATAGAGCTGGACCCAGAGTCCCAGGCAAGGCTCTCACAGGAAACCTGGTTATAAGCACATTGTCTGTGGCTCCGGGAGACCAAGCATCCCACCCTTCCTTGGTGTGGCATAGACAATGCTATATGCTCCTGAGACCATCTCATTTCTCTTCTGGGCTTACAGGAAAAGTACATTTCCAACTCCATCTAGGTAGGGCTAATAGAATGTGGGCAGAAGGAATGTCCACTACTCTAGGCTTGGGCCATAAAATATCTCCTGTGCATGGTTCTTCTCTTTCTTCCCTTTCTGTAGGGACCTTGGAAGCATGCATTGGACACAGCAGAGCCCCGCTGTGCTTGGAGTGACTGTGTAGAGAAGAACCCCTACCCTCTGCCCATTGCATTGGTGATGTCAGTGAGCAATAAACTGTTACTGGTCTAAGCCATCAAGACTGGGGGTTTGCTTGTTACCACAGCAACACCTGCTTTGCATGGACCCAGACACTGCTGATGTGTTCCACCAGATTTAGCTATATCCTGAAGATTTCTGCAGTGGGTTCTGGAGCTGCGTTCCTACCTCAGTACCTCCCCTAGAAACTCAGCATCCAAGTCCCTGGTGGGGAAGCAATGCTTTCTCACATTATAAAGATGGAAAAGAATATCACCAGGGAGAACTTCACCAGCCCAGAAAATTGGCTGTTGGTCCCAGGCCTCCAACCCTCATATTTATTCCTAGTCTGAGCAGAAACCCTTGCTAAGTTAGGCATCGATTCTGTGTGTGTGACACGCCATAATAACTCCTAACTTGGAGAGTTGGCTAGTTTTCATTCATTCATTCGACAAATGTTTCCTGAACTCATATTCTGTCTGGCTTTCCACCAATATTGATTGGCTCTTGCTCTGTGTTAGGCAGTGTTTTAGCCTTGCCCTCAGAGAGTTTCTGTGCATAAAGGGAGATAAAAGGAAGTAGGATGTGTTGTGGGTTAACCAATGTTGGGGGCACATAAAGCAGAGCTAGGGAGTAGAGAACGGTGGCGAGTGTGTGCGTGTGTGTGAACCCACAGGGACACTGTCCCTCAATCAGAACCAGCAAATGCCAGGGGAGGAGGTCACTGAGGGAGCCCTGGCGAGGGTGGGCCCTGTGGGCCCTGGAAAGGGCTAGGCTCTGTATTTTACTCTGAGTGTGTTAGGAGCCAACAGAGGGTTTTCAGCAGGGCATGAGATGAGTGGGCTGGAGTTTGAACAGACTGCCCCGTAAAGAACAGGAGGCTCCTGTAATCCCAGTATTTTGGGAAGCCGAGGTGGGTGGATCACTTGAGGCCAGGAGTTCAAGACTAGCCTGGCCAACATGGTAAAACCCCATCTCTGCTAAAAATAAAATAAAAAAAAAAAATTAGCCAGGCATGGTGGTGCATGCCTGTAGTCCCAGCTACTCGGGAGGATGAGGCATGAGAATCGCTTGAACCTGGGAGGAGGAGGTTGCAGTGAGCGGGGATTGCTCCACTGCACTCCAGCCTAGGCAACAGACCGAGACTCTGTCAAGAAAAAAACAACAACAGAAGGGCAGGGAAGGGCAGGGAGTCCGTGTGGCACCATAGCCTAGCGATGTGATGGGGATGGCTTGGGCCAGGGCAGAGCAGTAGCGATGGAGAAGTAGTTAAATTCTGGAAATATTTTGAAATTCAGTCAGGATTGGCTGAGGAATTGCATGGGGAATGGGTACTTCCTGACCTTGGCTCACTGTGGCCTCTGCTTCTTGGCCTCACACAATCCTTCTGGTCAGCCTCCCAAGTAGCTGGGACTACAGATGTGTGCCACCAGGCCTGGCTAATTTTTTTTTTTTTATATTCTTTGTAGAGATGAGTTCTTGCTATGTTGCCCAGGCTGGTCTTGAACTCCTGAGCTCGAGTGATTTGCCTGCCTTGGCCTCCCAAAGTGCTGGGATTACAGGTGTGAGCCACTGTGCTCAGCCTCACATATACACACTTTAAAATCACAAAACCCTCTTGCCCTCAGCATCCCCCACTGGGGCCCCTACTCTTCCCTGAGGGTCTTCACACAGAGCGCTCTTACCTGAGCCTCCCCTGCCATTCTTTGATGGATACTTCTATCTTTTCTCAGGATTCCTCATTTTCAAGCTCCCATTTGGATAAGAACTCACTTGTTCACTTTAGAGAGTCCCTGAGCACCTAATAGGTCCTCACTTGCAGGTGCTGAATGCTCTGCTAAGAAGAGTCTCGGCTGGGCGCGGTGGCTCATGCCTGTAATCCCAGCACTTCGGGAGGCCAAGGTGGGTAGATCATGAGGTCAAGAGATTGAGACCATCCTGGCCAACATGGTGAAACCCCATCTCTACTAAAAATATCAAAAAAATAGCCAGGCATGGTGGCGGGTGCCTGTAATCCCAGCTACTCAGGAGGCTGAGGTAGGAGAATCGCTTGAACCTGGGAGGCAGAGGTTGCAGTGAGCCAAGATCTCCACTGCACCCCGGCCTGGGTGACAGAGGGAGACTCCATCTCAGACAACAACAGCAACAAAGAAGAGTCTCATGCACACGGGGTCGGCACCTGGCTGCTGCTGGAACCCAGGGCCCCTGACTCCCAGCCTGGGTTTCCTCCCTGCGTGGGAGCTGGAACAGTAGCGTGTAGAGTGTTTCTGCAGGGCTTGCTGTGAGTCAGGCACTGTGTCAAATGCCTGCAAGCACCGTCTCATCCTCACCATCACTTTATGGAGCAGCTTCTCTGGGCATCTCCATTTCTGCCAGCTCTCTGCGCCAAGCCCACGCTCCTAATGACTTGACTGTCCTGCCAGTCAGGGCTGGTCACGGGGGCAGTGAGAGTCATTTGGAGGGGCCCAGAGCGGTGGGTGCCTCCCTACTCAGGCCCGTTTGGTGTGGAATCAAGAACAGGAGGACTCTGAGGAGGACCTGACACACCCTGGAACCAGAACCTGGGACTCTATGCCTTTTCCAGAGAGAAACAGCTCAGCCATGGCTTGGAGGAGCGATCTGTCCTTCCTCCTCTGGGTGACCGTGTGATTGATTTTTTGTTCCAATTTTTGATGACTTAGGAAATACCAAAAAAGAAAAAGGGAACAATAAACCTCATCTCTCATCACTCAGTGGGTGAGAGAAGATACTACTGGTCTACCCAAGACCCATTTCCCCCTTCATATCACCTCTCCTTAGGGCAGCCCTGAATGTGATGCTTACCGTTGCCATGCACATCTTTATACTTGAAATATAAAAGGATGTAACCCAGCCTGGCATGGTGGCTCATGACTGTAATTCTAGCAGTTTGGAGCCTGAGGTGGGCAGATCACCTGAGGTCAGGAGTTCAAGACCAGCCTGGCCAATGTGGTAAAACCCCATCTCTACTAAAAATACAAAAATTAGCAGGGCGTGGTGGTGCATGCCTGTTGTCTCGGCTACTTGGGAGGCTGAGGCACAGGTATTGCTTGAACCCGGGAGACAGAGGTTGCAGTGAGCTGACATCAAGCCACTATACTCCAGCCTGGGCCACAGAGCAAGACTTCATCTCAAAGAAAAAAAAAAAAAAAAGGATATAACCCCAAGCCTACACAGAGTTGTTTTGTATGCTATTAATCTTGATATAGGCCGAGTGCAGTGGCTCACCCCTGTAATCCCAGCACTTTGGAGGCGGAGCAGGTCGATCACTTGAGGTCAGGAATTTGAGACCAGCCTGGCTAACGTGGTGAAACCCTGTCTCTACTAAAAATGCAAAAGTCAGCTGGGGATGTACACCTGTAGTCCCAGCCACTTGAGAGGCTGAAGCAGGAGAATAGCTTGAACCTGGGAGGCGGAGGTTGCAGTGAACCCAGATAGTACCACAGCACTCCAACCTGGGAGACAGAGCGAGACGCTGTCTCAAGAGGAAAGAAAATAAATCTTGACATAAACGTCGTCCTTTATCTATCCTCCTATAACTTACATTCTATGCTGTATTTGTGAGATGCATCTGTGCTTATACGTGTAGCTCAAGTTCATTTTCACTACTGTAGCATATTCTATTGATGGATGTCATAATTTGCCCATTCTACTAATGGCTATTTTCCTTGCAGTAAACATTCCATTAGGTGTCGCCTTTATATGACATTTCTCCTGAGGATTTCTCAGAAAGTTCCTTCAAGCAGACTATGAAAGTTTCAACTTCTAATTTATTTATTATCACAGTGGCGAGTCTTAGGATTTAACTTGTTTTCATTGCACATAACATATATAGCAGACATGTCTCTGCATCTCTTGGGCCCTGCCTGTCCTCTGTCTGAGGGTGTGTATGAGTTTCGATTTGGGGATGGGGTGAATCACAGGCATACTTGCTGTCTGTGTTATTTGGTCGTAAAACATGGCCTTTCCAGAATGTCATGGACAAGGTCTTCATCTTTAACTTTAAACTGTAGCTGAAGATGAAGTTTCAGAAGTTAACCCACTTGGGTGGGGTAGGGAGTCAGAGGAGCAGGATCTTGAAGGAGGGTGGAGTGGCTGAAAGGGGGTGAGTCTCTCTGAGGGCTGAGCGCAGGACTCCTCATGCAGCTTTGTGTGGCTTGCAAAACAATTGTCTGGGATTCTTAGGTGTGGACTCCTTGTGTGATGGACGGGGATGGGAAGTGTGTTAGTCTTTTTCCACACTGCTGATAAAGACACACCTGAGACTGGGAAGAAAAAGAGGTTTAGTTGGACTTACAGTTCCACATTGTGGGGGAGGCCTCAGAATCATGGTGGCAGGTGAAAGGCACTTCTTACGTGGTGGCGGCAAGGGAAAAATAAGAAGCAAAAGCAGGAACCCCTGATAAACCCATCATATCTTGTGAGACTTTATTCACTATCCTGAAAATAGCATGGGAAAGACACCCCATGATTCAATTATGGATCCTCCCACAACACGTGGGAATTCTGGGAGCTACAATTCAAGTTGAGGTTTGGGTGGGAACACAGCCAAACCCTATCAAGAATGGAGGATGCGGGAGGAAGCTGCCTGAGGAGTGAGGAGGCCATGAGTTTTCCCTAGGTCAGGGTGAGAACTGCAGAGCAAAGTGATTAAGCACTTGGTATATGAAGTCAGATGTCTGAGTTCAAATCCAGGATCTGCCATGTATTTGCTGTGTGATCCTGGGCGAGAGACCTAACCTTTCTGTCTCAGTTTGGGTTTCCTCAAAAGTAGGCCATAAAACATGGATTCGGGTACCAGTCATTTATTTGGGAGGTGACCCGAAGACACCCAGGTGAAGATAGAGGTGGTGAGACTGGAAAGGAAGGACAGCAGGTGGGAGGCATTAAGGAGAAAGTGGGGTCTCTGTGAGGTGATGTGGCTGCATCCCAGAAGCTTGGACATTTAACCATTGGCTCTCATCCCCATTGGGGCATCTATTGCACCCCTGTTTCTCCTGAGCTGGGCTAGGAAAACTTCCATGTGTCCAGAGAAAGCCCTGGGGTGAGAGAGGCCAGAGGCAGACACGGGGCTGAGTGAGAAGCCATTTGCCAGTACACCAGGTCCTGTCTGTACCTGAGGCTGGCTCCAGAGGGTGGAGAGGACATGGGTGGGGGACATCAGTGAAGGCTGCTGGTGCCTCATCTGTAAAAGGAACAACAGCTGTTCCTATAGGAACAGGGTAACATGAGGTCAGTCCTGGCATACAGTAAGCACTCAATGAATGCTAAGTGCCCCCCCAAGGCTGTGAAAGGACCTGTTTGAAGAAATGGAAGCTTGGAGAGAGAATATAACATAGACCTGGTCACAGAACTATGAGATGACAGGGCTACAATTTGGACCCAAAGTTTGTGTAACCTCCAGGGACACCAGGCCTTCTCAGAGAGCTCCAGGGCCCAGAGACATTAACCCTCCTGGAGCTGGATGTAGGGTGGCTGTTTGCCTCACTGGCCTCAGGCAGGGCACAAGTACTGACCCGGAGTCTCAGGAGACGACCAGAGGGAGACCCGTGCCCTGGCCAGGCCAGGAGTCCCCTCTTGCCAGTAGAGGGCGCTGAGCACAGAGCAGGCCGGGTAGAGCAGTAACCATTTAGAAGCAAGTGAATTTCTCAATTTACAGAAATGGGGTGCGTTTAGGGTGGTGGAGAAAACGGAACCCTTATACACTGCTGGTGGGAATGCAAATCCATTCAACCACTGTGGAAAGCAGCCTGACAATTTCTCAAATAACTTAAAAAGTACTATCATTCAACCCAGCAATCCCATTACTGCATATACATCCAAAGGAGTAGAAATTGTTCTATTATAAAGACACATGCGTGTATATCTTCATTACAGCACTATTTACAATAGCAAAGACATGGAGTCAACCTAAGTGCCCATCAGTGGTGGACTGGATAAAGAAAATGTGGTACACATACACCATGGAATACTATACAGCCATAAAAATGTCCTTTGTAGCAGCATGGATGGAGCTGAAGACCATTATCCTAAGCAAACTATCACAGGAACAGAAAATCAAATACCACATGTTCTCACTTATAAGTGGGAGCTGAGCATTGAGAATACCTGGACACAAAGGGGAGAACAACAGACCCCTCCCCGACCCCTGCCTACTTGAGGGTGGAGAGTGGGAGGAGGGAGAAAATTGATAAACCACCGGTAGGGCTGGTTACCTGGGTGATGAAATAATCTGTACAACGAATCTGCACATGTATCCCATGAACCTAAAACTAAGGTTGGAAAATAAAATAAAATGTGGTTACTACTAAAATAAAAATTCTCGGCCAGGTGCAGTGGCTCACACCTGTAATCTCAGCACTTTGGGAGGCTGAGGCAGGTGGATCATAAGGTCAGGAGTTTGAGACCAGCCTGACCAACATGGTGAAACCCTGTCTCTACTAAAAATACAAAAAATAGCTGGGTGTGGTGGCATGTGCCTGAAATCCCAGCTACTCAGGAGGCTGAGGCAGGAGAATCATCTGAATCCAGGAGGTGGAGGCTGCAGTGAGCCAAGATCGTGCCATTGCACTTCAGTCTGGGTGGCAGAGTGAGACTCTGTCTCAAAAAAAAAAAAAAAAAAAAAAATCTCAATTCAGCATGTGACCAAGGAGGCTTCTGGAATGTGGATCTTTCACTTCTGAAACCAGACACTTCTGAGCAAACCAAAATGAGTTGGTTATCCGCACGTGAGTATGTAGTCAAAGGATGAAAAAAAGGTCCTTTCTTCCTTTCTCAGATGCCTTAGTATACCAACATTTGGGCTTTTTTTTTTTTTTTTTAAACAGGGTCTTGCTCTGTGGCCTAAGCTGGAATGTAGTGGTGTGATCATAGCTCACTGCAGCCTCAAACTCCTGGGATCAAGCGGGCCTCCTGCCTCAGCCTCCAGAGTGGCTAAGACTACAGGCTTGCACTGCCACTGTGCCTGGCCCTGCCTTGAGCCTGACACTCCTCTCAAGTCCTTGGTGGTGGACCCTTGGTGGGAGTAGGGGGCTCACAGTTTTTTGTCCCTGGCAGGGTTGCCACAGGCTCCTTCCTACAGACTCTGGGGTCAGATATAGGTTCTGCCTGCTGGCCGAGTTATCAACCTCAGTTTCCTCCTCTATAAAATGGGGCTAGTAGATGTGAGCTGCTGATATCCCTGAGACCAGAGAGTGCGTGTTTTGTCACGGCTGAGTCCCCAGTGCCTAGAAGTCCCTAGTGCTGTGGTATTCCACCCAGCTTTGCTGAATGCGTGCATGTAAAACACTTGCAGCGATGTGCTTGATTTACTGGAAAGTAACACATGCCAAGTTTGGGAGGCTTAAGTCATATTATTATTCTCTGTGGATATGAAGCCTTTTTATCATCAATATAAGGCAAACGAAGGGTGCTCATTTTGCGGGTGGATTAAATAAGAGTTGTGTCTCACCCTGCTGCTGAGTTCTAAAGTCGGAAAGATGTTAAGTGCACGTTGCAAAGGACTTTGGTGGCGGGTGGGGTGCTAGAGGCAGAGGGGCCTTTGAGGAACACTCTGACTTTTTACGTACTGAGTTACAGTTGAGGAAACTGAGGCTCAGTGAAGGGAAAAGATTTCTAAAAGCTGCATGGGTTGTAAGCAGCAGAGTTGGGATTTAAGCTGGGTCTGCTGACTCCCAGTCCATCCTAACTCTGAAAGTGTAGCCCTGATCTACAGGTGTGTAGATGGAGGGAGGCTCTCAGGGAAGGGGAGCAACTGGCTGGGCCAGGAAGCTAGGAGGTGGCAGAGCCCGAGGGACAGGCTGCTTGTGTCACGGAAGGCTGGGGTGAAGTGTGTAGGAACCGGATGCTCAGAGAGATGTAAGGAGTGGGACGGAAGCAGGATTTGGAGGGTCCTTTTTACATCCGGGTGCACGTCCTTTTGCATCTGGGTACAATGGACCCATTGGTGTGAACTCCATGTACCCTGGACTCTGGAGCTTCAGTTTCCTCATTTGTAAAGAAAGGAAATAGTCAACTGTGCCCCTCCTCTGAGGCTTTTGGGGTGCAGGTGGGGAACTCCCTTGAACTCCTGGAGGAGGAAACATTGCCAGGGGGCAGCTAATGGTCACCCAGACCCCCAGACCCCTAGACCCATTTGGTTGCCAGCTCTGTCCCACGCCCCCTCCAGCCCACTCCACGATTCTAAACTAGAGCAACCCCCTGAGCTGGGGCTGGGCTGGCCCCAGGTCATGGAATGTGAGCAGACTTTTCATCAAATTATTCCTCCACATTTGCAGAGAGGAGGAATTATTGGCAGAAAATGAGGACGTAAAACCCTGCTGGAGCCTAGCACCTTTTTGGGGCACTCAGAGCAGAGCACTTGGAAGCTGTCCAGCAGATTGGCTCATTTTTAATGGTCTAGGACTATAGTTCATCTGTTTAATTCAAACGAGGTGACATAATATGTTTCATTTGGACTTATTATCAGCACGGCAGTGATTCGGCTCCCAGCATTCTCCGGGCAGGACATTCTGTCATTACTGCACATTTTCTCTCTCTGGCCAAATTGAAAGTCCGCGGGAAGGGCAGCAGCCTCTGAAGGGAGAGATCAACAGAGTGTAGGTCACATCGGGTGTTAAGGAATGAAAATGAATTCATTCTTTTTTCCGTTGAATAAGCAGCTGTACTTGGGTCTCTGTGATCCATGAAATAGGCTGTCAGGAAAATAGGAAATGGGCTGCATTTGAACTTTGCTGTTGATTCTGCCTCTGTCGCCCTGAAGACTGGTGTTGCCTCCCAGGGCAGAGCAGAGGGAGGAGGGGGTGACTTAAGGAGTGGGACGGAAGCAGGACTTGTAGGGTCCCGTGTCCTTTTGGATCCGGGTACACTGGACCCACTGGTGTGACCCCCATGCACCCTGGACTCTGGAGCCTCAGTTTTCTTATTTGTAAAGGAAGGCAAGAGTCAACTGTGCCCCTCCTCTTTTGCACCTCCACTTTTGGGGTGCAGCTGGGGTGCTCTCTTGAACTCCTGGAGGAAGAAACATTACCAGGGAGAAGTTAATGGTCACCCGGATCCCCAGAACCTACTTGGCTGCCAGCTCTGTCCCCCCACTGCCCCAACACTTCTAAATTAGTGCAACCCCCTGAGCTATGGCAGGGCTGGCCCCAAGTTGTGGAATGTGAGGGGTGCACATTCATGGGCACCTTCCCTATGCCAGACCCCTGGTGTTCTGGATGGTCCTTGAGGAGTGAGGGTGGAGCTCTGTTTTGAAGATGATGATGACAGGCTCAGAAAAATGCAGATACTTTCTCAAGGTCAGCTTAGGGGCAGAACCTGGTTTCCGTTTGCCACTTAGAGCATTGTAGATGGGAAATTGGGCTGAAGCAGCTCAAAGCCTCAATCTGCATATTTACGGGCGTGAGAGGTTGAGCAAGCTGTTTGAAAGCAAGTCTTAAGCTTCCCACATGCTAGAAATGCCCATTTCACTCGATTGCGTGAGGGTTAGAGGAGAGAAGATCATACTGAGCTCAGCACTAGGCATCCTGTGTAGTGTCTGCTCCCAAATGTGATTTCTCTGTTCACCTATATCTATCTCTATGTCTATAACTATATATCCTATATCATTCTTTATTATATACTTTTGCCTTTCCATTCCTCAGATTATGGAGTGTGAGCCTGAAGTGGGGAGACTGAGATACTTTCCCAAAGACGAAGTGCAGTGGGGTTGGGGCTAGGACCTGTCCCTTGGACTGACCTGATTCTGTGTTCTTTGGACTATGTCAAGTGATAGAAAGTCTGGGCTGGAAAGGGGATTTTGAGAAGTTGATTCTGGAATTATTTCTTTTCCTTCTCTTTTCCCCTCTCTCTCTCTGTAACACTCTTCACCATTAGTATATTTTGTCCATTGTCTGTTCATTATTTGCCTAGAATTTACATGAAGGATGGGTTTGCCCAGTTCACTGCTGTATCCCAGTGCCTAGAACCACAGCTGGAACTGGAGTGAGGTGGGTGAGACATCTTGCAAGTGTAAGCTTGGCTCTTCAGTGAAAATTTCCATGTTTTGTTCATTGTGGATATTTCCGCATTAATTTTTTTTTTTGATATGGAGTCTACATCTGTTGTCTAGGTTGGAGTGCATGGGTGCGATCTCGGCTCAGGGTCTCACTGCAACCTCTGCCTCCTGGGTTCGAGTGATTCTCATGCCTCCCAAGTAGCCGGAATGACAGGTGTGTGCAACCATGCCCAGTTAATTTTTGTATTTTTAGTAGAGATGAGGTTTTAACATGTTGGCCAGGCTGGTCTCGAACACCTGACCTCAGGTGATCCACCTGCCTCGACCTCCCAATGTGCTGGGATTATGGGCTTGAGACACTGTGTCTGGCCTCTGCATTAGTTTTTATTTTATATCACTGTGTTAAAATATTGATTACCATAATTACAACTGTTTGGCACCCTCTGAAATGTTGCCCTTCCCCAGGCAGATGCCTAACCTGTCTGATCCTAGTCCGAGCCCTGCCTAGATCGCATAGTTTCAAGTGACATTCAGTAAGGATTTGTAGAATGCATGATGCCCTGTTACGTCAATTTCTGGGCCTCCCGAAGACAAAACTGTTCCCCAGTGGATGATCAATTCCCCTTGTATCTGAAGGAAGCCAAAACCCCAGATTGAGCTTTTATTTGGCTCTCTAATTTGGGGGCAGCTGAGTATTTCTGACAGTGGCAAGCTAAAGAGTATGGGTGTGTCTCTTCAGGACCTGATTGTGGAACCAATTAGAACCTGAATCTCTAAAACCGCCTAATGGGAGAATGGAACGCAAGATATCCTTGGGGCTCTGAAAACGTACGCAGAAGTTCACTCCGCCATTAGAGATGCAGCACCTTTCCCTCTCCTAGATGTTTCTTGCAAGTAAAAGCCACACGGGGTTGTACTGACAATTGTTAGTGTAATGAGATCTGACTGTGCAATCCCCTTCCCTGTGGGGGGCACACCTGGGCCGAGACAGCTGGGTTTCTGCTGTGATGCCTCTGTTGTTCCATTTCAATGAAATATCAGATCCTGCCTCCATCTTCGGCTCCATTTCCCTCCAAAGCTGAGGTTTCATCGAGAAGCATTCTTTTAATTGGGGTAGGAGTGAGAAATAACCTCCTATATAATTTAAAATGGTAAAATTATCGATACCTTTTCTAGCCTCAGCTTTAAATCTTAGCCACCAACGACTCCCCTATTAACGGGCCTAATTAAATCCATTTTTCAGGACGTCTTTGGCAAATTCCATTTTAGCAAAACTGGAGGAAGTTCAGTTTGATTTGTCTCTGCTCCCCAAAGCTTTTCTGTAAAAATTAGGACGAGGTGAATGCTTGTCTCTCATGTCTCACATTTATTCACTCAACAAATATTTGTTGAGCACCTACTATGTGCACTAGCATGAAACTAGGGGAGGGAGATAGAGAAGTAAAAAGACACCAAAGTTCCAACCTTCATGGCTAGAGGAGGGTGACCATCATTCATTCATTGATTCATTCAGCAAACAGGAATTGAGTCCTCTAATGGGTGACCCACTGTGCTACACCCTGGTGTTGTAATGATGAAATATCCACCCCCCAATGTCACCTTCCCAAGGTCACACAGTAGGGCCTCAGAACATGGTGGTCTCCTGGGCTCACACTTTTACTGGGCTTCTCCAGATGTGAAACCTCTTGGGAAATGAAGGAGAAAGCCCAGACCTCACACACAGATGTCATCGTGCCAGCGTCCCCAGCTTGCTCCAGTCTTGAGGACCTGCAACGTGGGGGATCTCAGTGGTGGCCAGGGTCCCTGCTGGCCCCCTGGTAGCCTCGCTCAGCCACCCTCAGCTACCACACCTCTACTTCAGAAGCTGAATGTCCTTGGGCAAGACAATGAGCCTCTCTGTGCCGCTGAGCCTGTTTCCTGTCCTTCATAAAGGGTGACAATAGTTATAGTAGCCCCACAGGAACACCCAGCACAGTTCTTGGCTAAGTAGGTGCTAAGTCTATGTGAGTCCCTGTTTCTTTGTAACGCACCTCTCTCCCTCTCCCTCTCCACCTGCCAGAGTCCCAGATCCTGGTGGGCATTGTACAAAGGCTCCAGCTGGTGCAGGCCCTCCAGGCTGAGCCTCTTTCCTGGGCTCCTGGACAGCAGGTGGGTACTCCTGAGGGGCGTGGGGATGGGGTGGGGGTCGGTCAGCTGGGCTGGGAGGGGAGGGGCCCGCTGATCTCCTGAGGGAGAGGTGGTCTCAGAGAGGCAGCCTGGGGTGGGGGCAGCTCTGCACCTGTGACCCTTCCTCACCCCTGGCAGTGTCTCCAGGACATCTTGGCTGGGGGCTGCCCCACGGAACCAGTGACCCTGAAGCTGTCCCCAGAGACCTCCCTGCATGAGGTAACAGGATAGTTAGGGAGTGCAGGCACGAGAGGCCCCAGTGTGGGGGAAGAGCTGATAAGGCCCTCAGGCTCCAGCCTCCCCTCCCACCCTTGCCCGCCAGCCTGCCTTATGCTACCTCCTGCCCCTCTTGGGTCTGTGTCCTCACCAGCCTCTTTGAGGTGGTATAGTTAATATTCAGTGTGATAAATGCTCTGATAGGGTTAAGCACAGGAGACTGGGATTTGGGAAAAGAGCTTCTAGCTCAGACTGGGAAGCTACAGTCAGGGAAGATTCTCTGGAGCTGAATTTTAAAGAATAAGTAGGTGCTTTCCATGTGAAGCAAGTAGAGGAGGAGGTGTCACCAGAGCCAGGATGGGTGAGCACAGGGATGTAGGAGCACAGGAGCTGGGCAGAACTCTAACAGTTTCAGTTGGGTTACAGCCGTGCTCACAACTCTGGTGACAGCATCAGGGTTACAGCCGTGCTCACAGCTCTGGTTACAGCATCAGGGTTACAGCCGTGCTCACAGCTCTGGTTACAGCATCATGTACACGAGCTCACAGCTCTAGCTGGGTTACAGCCGTGCTCACAGCTCTGGTTACAGCATCGTGTACACGAGCTCACAGCTCTAGCTGGGTTACAGCCGTGCTCACAGCTCTGGTTACAACATCGTGTACACGAGCTCACAGCTCTAGCTGGGTTACAGCCGTGCTCACAGCTCTGGTTACAGCATCGTGTACACGAGCTCACAGCTCTAGTTGGGTTACAGCCGTGCTCACAGCTCTGGTTACAGCATCGTGTACACGAGCTCACAGCTCTAGCTGGGTTACAGCCGTGCTCACAGCTCTGGTTACAGCATCGTGTACACGAGCTCACAGCTCTAGCTGGGTTACAGCCGTGCTCACAGCTCTGGTTACAGCATCGTGCACACGAGCTCACAGCTCTAGCTGGGTTACAGCCGTGCTCACAGCTCTGGTTACAGCATCGTGCACACGAGCTCACAGCTCTAGCTGGGTTACAGCCGTGCTCACAGCTCTGGTTACAGCATCGTGTACACGAGCTCACAGCTCTAGCTGGGTTACAGCCATGCTCACAGCTCTGGTTACAGCATCATGTACACGAGCTCACAGCTCTAGCTGGGTTACAGCCGTGCTCACAGCTCTGGCTGCAAACTGGAATCACTTGGGGGCTTTAAAAACTACAAATCCCCACACCTAATCCCTGATTATGTACATCATAATGTTGGGGAGTAGGGTCAAGGTACTGGTATTTTTTTATTATTTATTTATTTATTCTTTGAGACATAGTTTTTTGCTCTTGTTACCCAGGCTGGAGTGCAATGGCATGATCTCCGCTCACCGCAACCTCCGCCTCCTGGGTTCAGGCAATTCTCCTGCCTCAGCCTCCCAAGTAGCTGGGACTACAGGCATGTGCCACCATGCCCAGCTAATTTTTTGTATTTTTAGTAAAGACGGGGTTTCACCATGTTGACCAGGATGGTCTTGATCTCTTGACCTCGTGATCCACCTGCCTCGGCCTCCCAAAGTGCTGGGATTACAGGCTTGAGCCACCGCGCTCGGCTTGGTACTGGTATTTTTTAAAAGTTCCCCAAGTAACGCTAATGTTTAGCCAGGGTTGAGAGTCACTGGGATAAGGCAAGCAAAGTGGTGAGAGGTGAGATTGCAGAGGTAGAAGGGGCTATATTGGGAAGGATCCTGGAAGGCTGTTAAGGGATTCGAACTTTACCTGAAGGTAGGGAGATCATTGGAGGGTTGTGAGCAGCAGGGAAGGAGGGACTGATGTTTGTGCTTCAGAAGGAATTGATTGGATTGTGGTCACTGGAGGCAGAGAAACTGGTAAAGAGGCGATGGCAGCAATCTGGGAAAGAGATGATGGTGTCTGGGCTAGGTCATGATGGAGAGGAGAGATGTTTACAATGACAAATTGACAAGATTAGGTGGTGATTGGGTGTCCTGGGCGAAACAGGAAAAGGAGTTTAAGATGACTCCAAGTGGCTTGGATGACTGTGTGAATGGTTGTGACATAAACCAGAGAGGGGCAAGGAAAGATAGACAGTGGTTTGGGTTGAGGACATGCTGGAGAGATTTGATTGGCAGCTGGAGTCAAGGTCTGACTGTTGGGATTGTGCTTTGCATGGATTAAACAATTGGAAAGTCCACCATGACTCATAACTGGATGATGTCATCCAAGGAGAGGGTATGACCTGAGAGTAAAGGAGAAAAAGGCCAAGGGTGGTGGAGCATTTAGGAGTCTCAACATTTAAACGGTGGTTGGAGTTTCAAAGAGCCGAGAAAGAACTTGACAAGGGATGGCAGAGAGGAAGGAAGAACAGCAGAGGGATGTTGTGAAGCCAAGGGAGAGAGCCGCGAGAAGAGAATGGCAGCATATTGAAAGTTGCGCTGAGGTCAAATAAAAGGGGAGACGACTGTATATATTTAGGAAAAAGCTGGAGGCAGAAACGAGACTGTGGTGGGTTGGAGAGGGAATGGGAGAGGGATGAACATCGTGTACACGCTGCTCTAAGAAAGGCAAGCAAGAGGTTGGGCAGGACCCAGAGGAGAAGTTGGATTGTAGGAGGTGCTAGCATTCCTTCAAAAGCAGTTATTGAAACAGAATTGAGTGCAAGTAGTTTATTTTGGAGATGATCCCAGGAAACACCAGTATGGGGGGTGTGATTAAGTGAGCCATCAATAAACAATATGTCAGCAAGCAAGATCAATGTGGAAATATGGAGCTTAACCTTATTGGGTAACCCTGGAAGACAGCATTGACTGTGTACTCAAAGTTAATTCCCCCTGGGGAGCAAGGGAGCTGGGACACATTTATCCAACTTTAGTCATTGGCTGAGCTTCTGTTCCTTGGGGAGTGGGGAAGCATTAGTTCCCAGGCACCTCTGGCAGGCCATGTGCATGGGGAAAGGAGGCTCTGGCAGCCAGATAAAGTTCTCAGGTGAAAAGACAGGAGACAGCAGTTGGAAGTTGGATGAAAGTGATGAAGATGCCAAGAGCTGAGGGGCTATAGACGGGGACACTGAGAGCATCTGCCACAGGAGCGATTTAGTCTTTTTCTAGCCTGAAGAGAATGTATCATGAATTGAATAGTGAGGATGCGTGAGAGGGATGAGTTGAAGATAAAAGTGAGAGACGGGATAAATGATGGAGAGTGGCTCCAGAGGACGGGAAAGGGAGGATGAGAAAGCATGCAATTGGAGGGCTTTGTTGAAATGATATGAGGTTGCAGTTGGTAAGTAGGAGGCTGGGATTTATGTTCTGGCAGAAGCTCAGCACGTTGTGATCCTGGGTGTGGGTGGTCGAAGAGGTAGGAAAGTGAACTCCGTAGGTCATCAGCACGTCAAGCACCAGGAAGGTGAAGATGTGGGCTTGGGTTCATTCACACTGGAAATCCAAGTTCCCAAGGACTTGGGGATGGAGAGAAAGACTAAACCAGCTGTCAGTGTTATTAATGTTATTAAAAGTCACAAGGTACCGCAGTGAACCAAGAGTGTGGTCAACCATTGGGTCCTGGCCCAGGAAGGAGTCAGAAGAACAAGTCACTTTGAAGAGTTCTTATTTAATGGGTGAGTCTGGCTGGAAGTTTTGGAGGGAGGTTAGAGGACAGAGCTGAAAAAGTGGCAGCAAGAGTCAAATTCAAGGAGGAGGCAGGACAAAAAACAGGAGCCATGGACAAAAAACAGGATCAGGAACCAGAGAAGTCAAGTGCAGATTAGGAAGCCAAGTTCAAGATTGGTTCAAGTGTGTGGTGCAGGTTGAAGGCTGAGGATAAGGAGCGAAAATAAGGATCCATGCTTTCCTGAGG